AGCCCTTGAGATTGGATAAAATGAACAAACTATCTAGTGATATGCTGGGGAAATGGCAAATGAAGCCACCCAGTAGGTTGGGATCATCTTTGAGAATTTTCCAGCCAATTCAACCTAAGTATTTTATTTTCCACCTTCTTCTATATCTGTTATTTTTATTATACAAAATTCATGGATAGCAGGAATATTATTATTGACAAGGCAGATATACTGAGTTTTTCAAATTTGTGACATTTGTGTTTTCCTGATGATGCTCAAAACTTCTCCCAGCTTCTGAACTCATTTGCTTTTTCCATAGTTGCCCCCCAGACATTCCCGGGATTAGGGCTTCATGGCTGCCACCTGACCACTGTGGGTCCCTCTGCCCTGCCACGGCTACAGATGGTGAAGGGCACAGAGGAGAAAGGGCTTCTTAGGCTTCCCCTGAGTATATTAGATATGAGTTGCAGATGTTGTTTAATGAATGATGAGCTATTATCACTAAAGAAAAGAATACAGAAAAAAACAACTCAAAATGCTTTCAAACTTGTCAAGTGGTAGCATACCTTCTTTGAAATTTTAATTCGAGTCAGTCAGAGGAAAAATGTGATTCAGTATAAAATGTCTTTAATGGATAACTGGCTTCTTAACAACTTACCACATAATTTCAAAGAAGTAAATGTATATTTGGCTGAAATATGGGTGGCTTTTGAGTAGGCATATTTTTTGTTATTATAAGACAATTTAAGCAGATGTCTTTAAAAAATGATAAAGATAAATAGGGTTTTTAGTACAGTTGAATAAATCATGTAATTTTCTTTAGGATGACGCTTAAAGCTGTAAAGTTTATAAAGGTCCCCGTTATGGATTTTCAGTTTGAGGAGGAAATGAAAATAGGTTTATGTCATTTGCTGATTGTCAATTGAACTTTCCGAGAATCAGAGCTGTTGTGTCCTTGCTCTGAGGATGCTAGATACATGCTTGCATCTGATCAAGATGCTAATGTGAGCCGGCTATTAATAATTTTTAAAATCTGGATTAAATGCTTTTAGCTTGTTGTCAAAACCCTATGAAGGAAGATAACCTATTTTCAAACCTTTGTTTAAAGCGGAATAAAATTAGCTCACATATAGCCAATTGTCATTTAGTTACAAACAGATGCACACATTTAAATGAAATTCTGCAGTGTTTCACTCCTTTCCCAAAGGTGATAATGTGTTTTCCTCTACTTGTGAAATTGTTGTAATTTCACAGTCTTACTTAGATTTAATTGTGTTTAAGATTTGAGACAAATGATTCCAATTTTATTTTGTAGGACACTTTTTTCTTTGTCTTTTAATTTAACTTGATAGTTGTTGGTAACATGGAATATTTAGGGAATGGTTAAAAAAAAAAAAATAGCAGGACATTAAGTTCAACAGTTTAACCCAAAGAACTCAATATGGCAAATAAGCCTTTCTTAGCAGTATCTTAGTTCAGTTGATGTGTAATTAAAATAGAGTCACATATTTCCCATTGTAGTTACTAATAAAAATGCTTTTATATATAAATACAGTTTATTGTGCTGTATAGCATTTGGATGATTCTTGTTTATTCTCTACATAGGCTAAAGAAAATAGCATCAGATTATAAAACTCAGGCTAAAAAAGTGACAGAATATTACAGGTTGACAACAGGATAAACCACACCATGAATATTGAGGGACTGCAATAAATGTATTTTATGGTATTTATTGTTAAAATATTTACTTGTCAGCATAGAAGCTAAAGGCATTGGTATATTGCTTCGAGTTATGGTCGGCACAGAACAGACAGCACAAACCCGGCGCTGCTAGGCAGAGGAGCAGTACAACGCTCTGTTGTCTCAGGGTTGTGTGTTTTTGTATGATGAAGAACAAGGAAAAAAGAAAAGTGAAAATTACCTGTTGGAGGTGTTTGATCTTGGTACTTTCTGTGTTCCTCTGTCAATCCTGTGATGAAGAGATTAAAGAGAAACAACAAAGTGAAAGCAGAATAGGGATAAACAAGTCAAGTGGGACTGAGTCAGGAAGCCAGGGAAGGAGAGCTGTGGTAGGAAAGAGAATGAAATTTACCCTTCCATCGCGTACCAGGCTCTGTGCTAAGCATTCGAGCGTGTTAGGGATGTTTTCAATAAAATTATTCTCCCCTCATTGATTCTCACTCCCCAAAATACACACATGTACACACATGCCTTTGCTAGTGATATTGATCCATACGAATAGCCTTAGTGTTTGAGTATCAAAGCAGATCAGAGTCCTGAAGGAATATTGATGGTGTGAAATTGCAGAGAACATGGCTGTCTCGATCAGATATGTTATTTAGGGTCATGGGTTTTGTAAATTATCCAAAGTTCTTTTATTTCTTTTGGATCTTTGAGTTTGTTGTTGTTGATTTTCTATTCTTTTGACTTTTACAATGTACAGGATGAGAGAAAGATGGAAATATATTCTAAAATAAGGTTTATGTATATCATTTTTTTTCTAGGAGAATCCTACTTTCAGATGTTCCTTCCAGGATGCCCTTGGGTGAAGTGGGTGTTGGGAGGGATATATGTGCTTAACAAAACTCTAGTGCCTAATCTTTGAATTGGGAACACCAATCAGCATTGGTAACTGCTATATAGTTATTGAAAATAATTCACACATACCACACTGATGTGTTTATTTCCACGCATTTTCCTAACTCCTACTTAAAAGGTTGGTGTGTCCCTGAGAAACATACTCCACCTCAACCTTTCAAACAGGGATACCAAAATCATAAGATAAATATTACAAATCTTCCTGGTGCCTTAATTTTACTGGCAATTAAAGAGATCTTTTCATATTGAAAAGAAGCACAGAAAGTTGGTAGAGTACAGAATGTAAAATTGACATGATTTTGTCAATTAAAGCTGGACACTTCAGTGTTGAGCTATGACGTGCCTCTTCAGGCTATGCCTCCACTTGCCCTGGAGTTTTATTCACTTCCTAAGCCACTTTAAGGGACACATCTATTAATAAAAGCTTCACAATAGATAAATCAAAGTGATGTATTGAAAGAAAGGTAGGCAGGGGGCTGCCTGGGGCCAAACTACTAACCCTGCCCACCTCTGCATCCTCTCTGCACCCCTACTTCAATGCTTCCTTTCCTTCGGAGACCAAATAAGCTGATTCTCCCTGTTGAAAGTGAGCCTGAAAAGGAAAGACATAATCTGCATTTTAGGAGTTAGATGTGGCAGAAACAATTTCCCCCAGTGTTGAACAGAAAATGGGGATTTTCTGTGCCATAATTTCAAAAGCAAAAACAACAGTAATGATGGTGATGATGCTTTGAGCCATCTTAAGGGTAAATATTGGTCATTTATACACTTTTGTTAATTTTTTTTAAATTTGATTTTTCTAAAAAACATGAACAATCTAGGTATCTTTTGTTGCTATATGAGGTTTTAGCCTCTGTTTTTGTCTAATATTTTAGTCATTTTTTTCAGCAAATATATATCGAGCCCCTATTACAGCATATTCACTGTTCTAGCCGATGGGGATACAGCAGTTGACAACACACAAAAATCATGATCCTCTTGGAGCTTATATCCTAGTGGGGTGGGGAGACAGGCAATGTATAAGACAAGGAAAGAGAGGACATTGAGAAAGTGGTCAGTGCTATAAAGAAAAGTAAAGGAGGAGAAGATAGGGAGTAGTAGGGCTGTTGCAAGTGAGTGTAGCCAGCAAAAGCCTGGCTCTTGGGTCAAGATCTGAAAGATCGAGAAGCAAGCCATGAAGCTACCTGGCAGAAGACTGTTTGTGGCAGAGAACCTCAGATGCAAAGACCCTGAGATACATACAAAGACGCAAGTGTATCTGGGCAGAGTCCTGAGAACAAGGGAGAGAAGAATCAGAACATGAGGTCAGAAATGTAACGGGGAGCCAGTGACCTTACGGGCCACTGCAGGGATTTGGGCTTTCTTCAAGCGAGGTGGGGGAAAGTATTATATAGGAATCCGAGAGGAGAAACAAGAGACAATTTGTTTTAGCAAGGTCACTCTGGCTGCTGGGTGGAGCACAGAGGGAAGAAACAAGGACACTGGTCAGGAGGCTGCTGAGTGCATGGTAGCTGGGTCCAAAGTGATGAGAAGTGGTCAAAATCTTTTTATTTTTTGAGATTTGTTGAGAAACTGAATGTGTGGGATGTATGAGAGATAGGGAGGGAGAAAAAGATAAAGAATTACTACAAGCTGTTTGGCCTGAGCAACTTGGAAGGATGCATTACTATTAATTGAATTATAAAGAACTCTGGAAAGAGCTTTGGAAGATTGATTTTTCAGTTTCTGACATGTTAGATTAGGCAATTGACTATATGGGCCTGGAGTTAAAGAGGAAGGTCTGGGTTGCAGAACTAAATTTGGAATTACTCAGCATACAGTTATATATAAGCCATGAGACAGATGACATCACTAAACAAATTTAGATATATGCTCCTTTAACACTTTCGAGACCAAATCCAGGAGATGAAGAACAATAAGCAAAAGGAAAATTAATAGAGAACCCAGAGAGTTAAAGAGAAAACCAAGAGCGTGTGATGTCCTGGAAGGCAAGTGCTGAAAGTAATTTGAGGAGGAGGCAATCATCAACTATGTCTTGAAATCAAGCCAGAGGAGCAACTTTGAATTTAGCAATCTGGGGATTTCGATCTTGATAAGAGCAGTTTCAGGGGAATAACGGGAGTGAGAGCCTGACTAGAGTGGCTTTAGTAAAGAGCAGGAGAAGAGAGAGAGATTGGAAACTGCTATAAGAGATGGCATTTAAAAATTTTGTTTTAGAGGGAAGGCAGGAAATGGGGCAGGACCTGTACCGGGAAGTGGGTCCTGAGGTTTTTGGTTTTGTTTGATGGTAGAACTAATAGCATCTTTATAGACTGTTCTTCCTATTTGTGTCTGGGGACTAGATACCTAAATACTGACAGAGATCTGCAGTGAGAAGAGTTTTGATTGGAAGTAAAGGCTGTTTGATCAGATCACTTTGGATTATGGGTCTTTTGGAAAATGCCAGTGCTGCACTGAGCATCTCGAGAGCACCGGTATCACAGAAGGAGAACGGAGGGCATGCCAGGAGATGGGCGAGGCAGGGGAAGAACGCGCATTCAAATCAAGCATTGCCCATTTGCATTTTGCTTGGGGTTAGGTTACTGCAGGCCCTCAGGTGTCAGTGACAGTTCTTCCACATGCCACGGAAGTTTACTCTAGGTGACACCTTAACATAAAAGGTTTTTAGATAGACTTTTTCTTTCATGTTTGCCTCATCTCTGTGGGAAAGGTAACTTTGAGTGAGTTTAAAGGCAATTCATTGGAAGTCATTTCCATGTGCTAGATGCTTTGGGAACCCGAATGCCTTCTGTTGAGGGACTAGAAGTGGTTTATGTTAATTAATGTATCGCTGTAACACTGTCTTCTGGGAACTCTGCTACCCAGTAATGTAGGTGTTCTGATGAATCAAGTAATCTGGTTAACAAGGACCACAACATATGACTTAAATAAATTACTAATGTTGACAGACACGTGAGTCTAGTATATTGTAGGTGTTGAGATGAAAGCTGGATAGAGTCAGTCTCTCTAATCAGCCAGCACCTCTGGGTGCCAGTGACTTTGTTTGGGGACACAGATTGAGGAGCTGGTCCTCTTCTTCCCTGGAGTAGAGACTTTATTCCACCCAGTGATCCAGATTAGGCTCTGCTGAGATAATTTCTGTCAATCATGGGATTGGGAAACAGTCTAAGCAATTAATTAAAGAGATTATGAGATCTGGGAAATGTCCAGGAATCACCATTTATCATCTGTGAGAAGAGTCATATGTTACTTGTATTTTCAAAAACTGGAGTTGACATTCTTTAGGGCAGAACACCTTCATGGATGAGGTATAGATATTTTATAATGTAGCCTCTCTTTTTACACTTTTCACTTGGAAACAATTACGGTGTGGTCTGAAACCCTGGGTTGGAAATTAAAAAGGCTGGATTCCAGTACCAGCTACCATTTAGTCTGTGACCTTGGGAAAGAAAATCTCGGTACTACTCTGTTCTCCCATTTGATAAAGTTATAATATTGTTACGTATACGGTATAAGCTTGTATGGATATAATGTATGGAAAACAGTAAAGTACCTAAAGAAGAAAAGGTATAATGATTTGTTTTATGAGTTATCAATTTTAGGCTATTGTATTATATTTCTGATTGATACTCTTATTTTTTTCTTTTTTCCTCAATATTTAAGGTACATGGTTTACTCCGAGTTAAGCATGTAGCAAGTTAAGTAAGTTATGACTCTTAACTTACACAACATTGTTCATAGTACCAATATAATATACCACTGCCTTGTTGATTGGTATATTAAAATGAACATTATTGTGTAATAATGTGTTAGAATTCACCACTATGCAATATTGAAGTTATTATAATTATGGCACAGAAATACTGACAAAAATCACACTTCTATCACATTTTAAAAATTGATTTCATTTTCCTTTTCAGGTTTTAAAGTGTTAAACTCTTCATTCTGGCCAAATGATTAGAAAGATATAGTTCTACTGATTATTTTTATACTAGAATAATCTTTCATTATTAATCCATTTAAGTCTTATCTCAAATCAGTTCATCAGTGCTATCAATTAAAAATAGAAAATGCATGTGCTCAATTTCAAGAATTAAAAATAATGCCTTGGGAGTAGCATTTCTTTTCTGTGGTGAGAGGATTGTTGGATTTTCCAATTAAAGAAGTCTCCATGCTGGAAATGAGTAGTCAATTATGAAAATTATTTTTGAATAGCCAATTTGCATATCCCTAATTGTATTCATTTCTTTTGAAAGACTGAACTTGGAGTTTATGATATTTCGATTGGTTAACCCTGCACGTCTGTTATTAATACTATTGCCAACAAGGTTCCCTTATGAATGGAGCTTTGAGTGTCTTTCCTGATAAATGTTTAAATAATAATTAAGTTTGTTTTATTTAATGAATGAATAATATCTAAAGATTTACTAGCAGTTTTCAAATTTACAAAGATTGCACTTTATTGGATTGACAGTAGCATCCCTAAACTGCCTGCTGCACTCACATTTGGACTTTTCTACGTCAGCTGATTTAGAAACATTTGAAGTTCCTCTGTGATGGTGATGTCTGCTGGCCAAAAATGCAGTTTCAGCAGTGCTACCCTCAGTGTTGACACAGTAGTGTCTGCATGGTTATTTGCATTTTTCAAATATATTTTACCCTTATTTTAATGAAAAATGATGTGAAATGGACAATTAAAAGTTTTTATATTAATGATAAGCATAGGTCTCACGTGAAGTAAAATTGAGATGAAGATGGGAATAATGAGGTTAAAAGTGCTGATGTTTAGTCTCATTGGACTTAGCATTCTTTGGACTTCAGTTAGTAAACATAGAGTCAGTCATGAAGAAAAAGAAGAAAATTAAAGGCATGTACAAAAATAGGGTATCTATGTATGCAAGAAACAAATTGCATTCAAGTGTACAGACACTGTTTATATATATGTATTTTGATTGTGTCTAGGAGAAAAGACACAATTAGGGATTTCGTAATGTGTTTTAGCTCTCTGAGACTGGAATGTCCCCTTGTACCATATAAGTCTATTATTCAACTTTTACATAGTCAGCTTTCAGTGTTGGAAACACTCTGAAAGATAATGAAGTTCTTTTAGGCGTATTAGGTAAGGTGGTAAGGGGACGAGGCAGCCATTTCATTCCTTTAACAGAGTGAGCCAAAGTTGGTCTCTATTTCAGGAATAAACAAACTAAGTGAACAAACCATTTATTATTTCCTGGCCATAATGCTTATAGATATAATATTATTGAAAAAATTAGGAGTTGTGGTATAGTAATATTAAAGTTTTAAGTTTGAAGAGGCCGTTTTCTTTAAAAGCAAATGAAGATCTCACAATCAGCTAGACACAGTATCCATGTGATATGCGTGTCCTACAAAGTAATTAGTGTTGTTGGATTTGTTTGTAGCTGATTGCTGTGTTTGAAGAACAAGAACCACTCCACAAGATTGAGAGCCCCAGTGGAAACCCTACAGATCGGCAAAGCCCAGATGCTTTTGAAACAGAAGTGGCTGCCCAACTGGCTGCGTTTAAACCAATTGGTGGGGAAATTGAAGTGACCCCTTCTGCTCTGAAACTAGGTATGTGCTTTTTTAGTGGTCTGCTTTTCACCTGGTTGAAAATACATCATCCTGTGGACTGTGTGGTGCTGCTTCTTTATGACTTTTATCCTGTTAATTTTTTAAAATGTGGATTCTCTTTTCTCTAAATTATTTTTGTATCATACATAGCGCTTTGCAGCTGCTGGTGCTCAGGTAAGTGGATGCAGTGTTTTCTTGCACTGAAGGTGAATCTGAATTGCATGCCCTTGAGGTAACATGGGGGAGTCAGACTGTAAATGATGAGGTTTGCCTGTATCATATGAGAATCACTTTTTTAAAAAAGTTCTTGAAAAAAGTCATTTGGAAAAAGCTAAGGGTTATCAAAGAATCCAGCCTAGAAATAAAGGTCACTTTCTTTTCTTACCCTCCCTCTTTTTTTCCCTAGACTATATATCTCAGAGTTTGAGGAAAATATTTTGAAGTTGGTTTTGAAATTCTTTCCTGCTGATTTATTCAAATAAGAACAATTCATCTGGTGATTTTGCTCAGAATTCTTTTTCATTATATTTGTTTTAAAGGTGTTAGTAGAAAGAGAAAATAAACATTCTTCTACAGTTTCAATTTACAACTCCAAGAGAAATAACATGTCAGTTTTGGTGATACCTCCTAGAGCTAAATTAAGGTCAGTTTAACAGCATGAAGTTTTTGAAAATCCACTAATATTTTCATACTTAAAACAATTTTTTATTCTTGTTGAATCTTTGCACAACATTTTGAGACTGGTCAAAGCACCTGTTACAGGTTAATTCTCAAGCTAGAAGAGCAGAGGTTTTTACCACTTTGCAAAGAGCATCTTATTCTTTTTAGAGCAAAGCATATGCTTAAAATTGTCAAAATTGTACATGGTACCCATTTTTCCCATTTGAAATAAAATATATACTGAAAAGTTAATTTTTACATACTATAATATTGAATATCCATATTTTGTACTGATTTTCTGAAAAGCATTTGTAGTGCCCCTTTTAAAAGAAACCAAATGGAAATTAATGACCTATGGCCCTCATGGTTTTCTCTCTATCTTTTGGAACCAAGCTAGTGAAGCAGTCTGCCGGAACGTGGATGTCGGAGGGCTTTGTGGCAGTTTCTCTTCATCTGAAGCCAGGCTTGTGGCTTCAGCAACCTTGCAGCCCCATCGTTCATTTGCATAATGGATGCCTTTTTATCCATTATGCAAATGGTATGAGAGGAAAATTAGGCAATAAGGGAAGACGAAAGGAGAAAATTGCTCTTGCTTGTTTTAATATTCTATTTATAAGCAAGCACTGTGGTCTTCAAATGGCTGAACCTCAGGGTACCCTTGTGCCTGGGAATTTATTTTTACCTTTCTCGTATGGGTTTTGTCAGGGAAAAAAGTTTGATTTTCTTCAGATTTCTCACAATTTCTTTGTTGGACTGTCTTAGCAGCAACGTAATGCAAGATGAAAAATAAGCTGAGGTTCCCCTTCTCTGAAAGTGGACTTCTACTTCTTCAATACTGATTTTTGATAAGATAGAGATAGAAAATAGTATTTCTTAAATGGAGACTACATGCCAGGCACTGAGCTGAAGGCAGTGCACTAAGTAATCTAAATCCCTTATTCATAATGACTTGTTTAAGCCTCATAATACTTAATTAGTTGGGTTTTATTATTTCCCTCTTTTTAAGAGTTGAGGCATCAGCACAGAGAGGGTTAGTAACTCATCCAAAATCACACAGCTATTAGGTGACAGAGCCAGAATTTGAAGCCCTGTTGGCTCTGGTGTCAGAAACTATTTAGCCATCTTGCCTCTGATAGGCTATTCATAAGACAGTAAATCAATTTGACTTTCCTGGGGTTTACTTTGTGAATGTATCCCAAAGGCCTGAAAACGCTAAACTCCGTGGCTCACGATCCCATTTTACTTTGCAACATAGATTAAATGATGAGACTAGCTCCCTTTTGGTTGGTAATTGTTGCTTTCCAGCCATTCAGCCTAAAACCTTGGCATCATTTCTGTTTTCTTCCACCTCCTCCACTTCGGTCAGCTCTTCAGCTTCAGTCCAGAGCTTGGGCATCAGTCAGACTGTTGCAGAGGCCTCAGACTGGCCTCCTTCTCTACAGCGTCTGCTTTCTCCAATCCTGCTGTTGCCAGAGTTGCCTTTCTGAATAACGAATCTGATTATATAACTCCCCTACCTATCGACCTTCAATGCTCCCCATCACCGCAAGAACCATGTCCAAACTCGTTAGCAAGCTGACGCAGCTGGTTCCTCTGAATTAGCAGGAGGAATCTGGGCGGGATGAATGAGGAAAAAAACAATCATCCCTTACCCACCTTCATGGTTCCAGAAGATTGAGTAATTTTCATTTCTGGAACTTAAAAAGCAAAGAAAAAAACACATTTGTCAGATTTTTCAGATAAGGAAGTTAAAGAAGGAAGCAATACAGCCAGCGCTGGTCTCTGCCCATTCTGTTTTCCTGTTGCTGGCCCCAGGGCAGGATGTGGTAATGGGCTGGGCACCTCAGGGTGGAGGGATATGGTGGGCAGTGGGTGCGGTGTTCATGCTCTTCTGGGATGTGACCTGGGTGTGCTGGCAGGCCCACCCTGAGGTCCTGCTAAGAATGGGAGGGGGCAGTCTGAGGAGCAGTGGCACTTGTGTTCCAGGCATTCCTCATAATGCCTGGGGGGTGCTCATAAAATGCCAACCCCTGAGCCCCACCCTCCATCTCTGTTCCCCACTCCGCTCCCCCAGGCCGTCGGAACTGGTTCTGCTTATCATGGGGCTCATTTGCCCAGGCTGGTACGGCAGAGAAGCATGGCTTAATTCTCACTCTTCGTATTCTTAAAGCCCATTCAAGAAATTGGGGAATTTAATCCTTATCTGCTCACATGCTGTTCTTAAGCGGACACAATTTAACAAATATTAGAAATCAAGATGTTTTTATGATTACATCATATTGATCACCAACAATGTAGCTGTTTTACTGGTATCTTAAATCAAAATATACTCAATGTTCAGTATAATTTTCATATTTCTTTTTCAAACTCAAGATAACTATCAATCGTATTCTGTCAAAACCCAACAACCACCTTCCCCATATAATGCATCCAGCGGTTGACCCCGTCCTATTCTTTCTTCACCTTCCAGGATGAAATATGTATGCACAGAATATGCGTAAGATTCATATTCCCAGGATCTTCATGCTCTAGCTGCTTCCTCTCTGCCCCACTTTATCGCTGGCCACTTGTCCACTGTCACCGTAATTTGCAGCTATCATGAACCAATTGCCATTCCAAATTTACTACTTTACCCCGAATCTCTGTGCCTTTTCAGGCACTGTTCTCTTTTCGTGGCTCACCCCTTTGTCTCTCTTCTACCTAATGAACTCATATGCACCTTTTAAGCCCAAGCTCAAATACGACCTTGTTTGTGAAGCCTTATCCGGGTCTTTGAGACAGTATAGTAAATGTACAATAAATATATTTATTAATTCTTCCCTCAACAATGAAGAGTTACAAAGGTGAACTTCTACCAACCTAAACAGGTTTAGTCTCATGACCTATAAGCTAATGAAATATATAATTTCGATTCATAAGAGGAGTTTAAAATCAAGTGAGCAATCACATAATTCCAACTTCATTCATCTAAATTATTTCCTACCACTTATTTTCTGATGGATTTTCTAATGGAATGCTAGATGACTGAGGTCTGCCTCAGCCCTAACTAGCAAATCAACACTTTAAGATTCCATGTTTCTGAAATTGGCCAGTGCCTTTTACCATCCAGCCTAGAGACTGCTAACCTAAGAGTCTATATAGAAAATGAGACATGTCGACCAGAGCAGCCGGTGTTATTGCAAAGAATCATATTCACAGACTCCATGCATACCTGGAAACCACCTAGTTCAAGAATTTTCCAAGTCTTCTCTGTGGAACCCTATGGTTCTTATGAGCATGTTTTAGGGCTTCAGCAAATGTTTGATTGTAGTTAATTAGTAAATAATATTTATTGAGCACCGAAGTTCTAGATGATATTCTAATTTGTTCATGCTCCATCTCTGAACAAATAGGATTGGCTATGCTAGCAGGGAGGAAAGGCATGCAGAAGCCTGTTAAGTAGGCTATAAACAGATTCCCTGTGCTTTTTAGAAGTCCTAAAGCAAAGAAACCTACCTCCACTTAAAAGAATTATGTACCCCTCAGAACAGATTTGTGAAATGCTGGTCTAGAAATACACAGAATTTCATAAGTAGTGATTATCTAGGGAATTGACATTTATCCTACAAATGAGCAAACACAAGCTTAGAGCCAGTAAAATAACTAGTTGGTTAAAGAACTAGAATTGGAACCTACATCTCTTGGCAGTTTAGAGAACAGTACAGTGCTCTTTCAGTTACATGACATTTTTTGGATTGATTGTAATTTCAATTATCCATGTCTTTTAAATACTATATGTGATAAAATAGCACCTCATATCCTTTTGGAATTGAAATAGAGTGTAAATTAATAAATAGATACTATGAATAGCTGTAAATCAAAAGCTAATGAGGGAACGAAGAGACCAGAAAACTTGAGGTGGAGAAAATTTCTTTTAAATCTTAAGTTTCAGAAATGGATTTGCTCCTGTCTTCTCATCCTGTATGTGTGTACGTCTGCACTTGCACGTGTGTGCGTGTGTGTGTTTGGAGGAAAGTTTTAGCAAAAGCAGTATGCTAATGGGATCCCTGGGTGATATTTTTTTAAATAATGTGAATATTTTTGTACCCTTTCCCCCCGACTGTCCCTATGCTGCCTTATGATCTGACCTTCTACTGTCCTCTCAAAGGTGCGATGTGGCCATAGCCCAGTCTTTGTCCCTTGAGAACCAGTCATATGGAGCTGGTCCCAGACCCATCTGCGTTTGATCTACCTGTGTGCCCTGGACAGGCCATTTACCTCTCTCTATCAGGACCAAATTTTTCCAAACAAAAAATAAATCCAGACACATTCTACAGAAGTGAATATTCAGGACTAAGGCC